TGCAAAGGGATTCAAAGGCAAACTTCTCAGACACCTCCTTTCCAGAGACATAGAAATCAACAGAACATCACAGCTTCTGACAAAAGTAAATCTCTTTGAAAGTGGTCTTTTCATCAAAAATCTAGGTTTTTTTATAAAACTCTTTGCTAGCTGCAGCACTTAATCTCCATCTTTTATTAACACTGGTATGATGTTTGCATACTGGGTTGTGCTTTTGGCCCTGACACTTCACATGGGTTTAAGTGCCAAAGATCCAACACATTTCTTAGCTTTCCTGCCCATATCATATTTCCTATTCATTGTCCGCATTTATTACCAAAGCTAGGTATTTGTATATTCACATAATAGAATGTGGCAACTTCAGAATTTGTAAGTATCTGTCATAAGGGAGACAGACAAGCTTGGCACTTTGAAAAGTGAAGGGTTTTGAGGATTTGTTTCATTAAAATACTTGAGCTAATTTGCTCCTCCTGGAAACTGGAGGTACACACCTTGTAATTAGCAGTCATTTTAATGATTTCTGTGAACCAGCAAGAAAGAATTGATATAAAATTACATCTCCCTGCTTTATATGAATGTGCATTCTTTCACCTCCCATCTTTCACTGCTCCCATCCCTTTACTTACATCTCTCTACTCTTTCTTTCCTACCTCTTTTCCTTTTTGTATATGTAATTTCTGCTGCTGTTGGCTTCTAGCTGGATGCATTGAATCACTTCATGTGCCTGTGTCCTTTCTATGACTACATTAGCAGAACCCTTCCATCACAGAGGAAATGTCATACTGAGACAATGTTTCATAATTTAAACTTCACAGTGTACTCACAACTTTTTATTCAGACACTATGCTGACATGTCTGACACGCATGCTAGAATATGACACCGAACTTATAAATGTCATGTTATGCTGAGTGTGTATGATCAGAAGACACAAGACAACATGAATTGTAGGATGAAAGCATAAACTGTTGAAAGCAACAGGAAGAAAGTAGGAACACATTCAGTTGTATTCTGTTTTGACATAGGCTTTTGGATCTTGACATAGGTATGGCTGTAAGAATAATTAATTTTTCAAGCTGTGAGATACTAGGAATTAAAATATTTGTAAAATGTACATCCCAGTTACACTGTTAAATACAAGTAGAAGAAAGAAGTTAGAGATTATTTTAAAATAATTTATCATGAGAAAACACCACAATTCATTCACAATGTGCCAGGCCTTGTGAGAATACATTTGTTGATGTCAAGCATGCATAAGAATGTTTGTCTTGCACAGAACAGATTCAGCCTGATTATTCCATATCTCACTGCATTATTTACTACAGTGTTAAAAATGCATTGGTATCAAGTCACTCCTTTACATCTCCAAAGTTCTTATTAGCTGGCAAACAAGGAAAGAAAAAGGAAAGAAAAAAAAAGAAAATAGAACAGCCTTTGCTCCTGAATAACTATGAGTCATAACTACCTAACATGCCTTCAGATATTTTAATAAAGAATACTTGTCTTCTGTGTAATTATATTTCTAGAAAAAACATTGTGGTGTGAAATTAATGGTTATTCTCCAAAGTGGGAAATGCTGCTTGTGTGGGCACTACTTCAAGGAAAGTGGGGAATATATAAATAAACTAAGATGTTTGATGGAAATGTAGGTTTCAAAATAGCTGCTATACCTTCTGATCTTTTTTCAGTCTTGTATGTGGAAGTATTTGTTTGGAACTAAACAAAGTTATATTTTTGGAAGTAAATAACTAGCTTTAGCTCATGCTTGGCTTGTTGGTTAGGTTTTTAGAAAGTGCTATGATGATACTAAATGATCATATTTTATAATAACTGGTTTATCCTCATTTCTCCTGAAATTCAAAGAGAAAGCCAGCTCCCTGATTGGCAATAGAAATTATTCTCTGAGTTCACATCTTTGCAGCTGACCCAGCAGTTGTTCCCAGACTTGTCCAATTACCAGTGGGCTCACTGGAATTACATATATCTTCCTTATGTTTATCCTCCTTATATTTATTAAGTTGGAAATAAAGATGAACCTCACAACTTTTTATATAAAGATATTCCCATTACTGAATGTATCTTGTACGATAGATAAACTTTAGGAATATTTTTAGTGTGGTATTTTTAAAGGTGTGATGTTACTGTTGTGTCAAAAATACTTCAACAGCTTAATAAAAATTATTTACATTGTCCCTGCCACCTTCCCTCTCATCTGGCATTCAGCTATTCAGGCACATGTCAGGCTGGGGCCTGATAATACAAGTAGAGTTAATCAGACACAAGAGAAGTTTCAATCCCATTTTCTGGCACTTGTCCTTGTTTGTGTTATGCAATTGCAATTGCACCACTTTGAAAAAGTATCCAAACTTCAGAAATTAAGGACTAGGAATCTCATTTTGATTTTTCTTGTGAGCTGGACTGGAGTTTGAACTTGGTGATGAAAAGTTGTGGATTATGTTCAGCGTCACTTGCCACTGGAGTCTGGTGTATATAAAGTCAGTTATCATAATATATTAATATATTATGTCTGTATAAAATATATTAGTATATACTCTCATATAGGGAAAATGCAATGAGCTATGTGTGTTAAGTAACTGTCAGTTCTGTACTCCCTACTTGTAGCGAATTTCAACATTTCTGTGCTCTTTCTGCAGATATATGTAAACGTGGCATGTTCTTGTTTCACTTGGGAGTTGTTGGGCTGAGGTCAGGAGTACCTGGGTGGCTGTCTCTGCTCAGTGTAGGAGTTCAAGTGAGGTCACATGAGTTACCTGCTGTGGTCTGAAATACCTACAAAGAACTGTTGTCCCCCCAGGCAGGAAGGCCAGCACTAGAATGCAATACCACTTCACAAACATAAATGATGGTGTCCCCAGTTCATACATGATTTAGGAAACAACTATGTGAGCTGTAAGCATTGTTTCAGCAGTTGCATGTTACTTGATCTCTGTTATCCTCCAGAATCTTTCAGGTGCTCTCTCTGAAATACAAAAGAAAAAACCCGAATGTATACAATTTCAGTTCACCTGAAAGAATGAAAAATATCTTAACTGGGAAATTAGTGTCACCTGCTTTGGGTTGACTAATGTAGGAGTAACTTTTTTGCTTTCAAGTGCAAGATCTGTGAGATGTTGCCTTCAAATCATGCAGCACCTGGTCATGATGGAGTCCTTATTCATAACTCTGGGTTATTATGTTCCACAGCAATATGAAGTAATAACCCATCCTGTAACTTGCTGGAGCTTTCTGAGGCTCTCTGCACTCTGTAATTAATGTGTTGGTCATGATGAAGGATTTATTAACACTGAATCGAGGCAAATGTGGATGTAAATATGCTGATTCCAATCCTTGAGTATCTCTGGGCTTTTCCCATACACAACTACCCTAAGAACTTGTTTGAACACTAAATTAATTTTTCCCTGGATGATCAGTTTTCCCAGCATTCCTGTTTATCAGGACAGCACACACCAGTGTTTCAGAAAGAACTACCTAAAATTAAAAGCACTTTCATTAGTGTGTTTTTATGTGAAATAAGAATATTTTTTAGAAACCGTGACTTCATTGGTGGTTGTGTGATTCAGTGCAACCTTGGCAAAGTAATGAGGAGTTATATTTACACCGATGAAAATGTTGCATGGTCAGTGGTTAACATAATAAAAGTCATCATTCTTCCGAGTTACCTTACTGTGTTATTTCTGAGTGGCAGCAGCCAAATAAAATTTCCCTCCCCCTATTTTTTTTTTTTTAAAGGCATAACCAGACATGGAGCATTTTGATTTAAGTATGTAAAGATCATCTTATTGCAATTTTGAATAGTTAAAGGTGAAATTGGTTCTTTAGCTGTGGTCCAAGAAAGAGGGCAAGACCTTGCACCCTCATCTAAGCATACTAATATACTGAACACAAGGCTCTCTCAACATAAGCTGCCTGTTGCAGCAGTCTGCTACAGAGGAGTTTCAGTTTGCTTCTGGCCCAAGTAAGCAACAAACTATTTTCATCACCTTCAGCAGAAATAGGAAGGCAGGAGTGAATTGTGCAGGTGTGTCTGGAGTCTCAGTGTCTCCAGGCACTGCCACCAAGCCATGCCAGCTGACCAGTGCTCCTGGCAGGGTTTGAGCCCTGGACTACATCCACACTCTCTATGCTCTGCCTAGTCTGGTTTCTAAAACTGAACATGAGTTCCAATGGGATTTTAGTCAGTGGCCTCCTGCCCCCTTTGTACTTTTTTCTTGTTGGATCTAGGCAGACCAGCAGTCATGAAATGCATAAATAAGCAGGATGTCTTCCCCGCAGGAAAAGGCAGTGGGCCGGGGTGGAGAGGAGCAGAGCTGAGGGAGATGAGAAGCAGGAAGGAGAGTTGGTTCCCAGGCTTCTGGCTTTCAGACCGAGGGAGTCCACCCTACCATCTGCCCAGCTTATGTATTGTGCTAAAGGCTCTGTTGTATAGGAGAGTCTTTGACAAGGTTTCCAGCTGTGGAAGGATGAGTAAAGGCTGTGGGAATAGGATATGAGCCACATGGTCTTGCCAACAGTAGAATGCTTTCTAAATTTCTCCTGGGTTTGGAACATAAAAAGTCCTTACTTGGCTGTTGCGTGGAAGTTGGGG